TCTTCTTCATTCTTGATGCACTCCAATCTCAGCTCCTGCTTTGATTTCAAGCACTGGTGAATCCAGTGTGGCATGAATATTTCACCTGAACCTTCTTCCACTTCCATCTTCATTTTCTTCCTTCTCCAACTACTTCCAACATCATCATCCCATAACTATAAACATCAGACTTGTGGGACACCCCACCAAAGTTCCTAGAAAACACTTCTGGTGCTATGTATCCTGCAGTTCCTCTCGCGCCTAACAATGACACAATGCTATCTTTCTTCGGACAGATTTTTGCCAGCCCAAAATCCGATATCTTAGGACAGAAATCATCATCGAGCAAAATGTTGTGAGGCTTTATGTCTAAATGCAAGATTCTAGTGTTGCAGCCTCTGTGCAGGTACTCTAATCCTCGAGCAACACCGATTGCAATATTGTATATAGCTTTGCAGGTCAGTTGGAGATTGATCTTTGATGGATCTGCCTGGTTTTGTATGTATTTGTCAATTGATCCACTGGACATGTACTCATATATCAAAGCTCTTTTTGAACCCTCCAAGGAAAAACCCAATAAGCTAACAATGTTGACATGAGAAGTCACACTAATGCTGGAAACTTCATTGATGAATTCTTCTCCATCACCGTTCAGTTCAGTCAGAACCTTCACTGCCACAAGAGTTCCATCACTTAACCTGCCCTTGTACACACTGCCAAATCCTCCTTGACCCAACTTGTTTTTGAAGGAGTTTGTGGCTTTCTTTATCTCCAAATAACTATACCTTTTGGCTGCAAGGTGTCCATGTTCTTCAAGAAACTGCTCAATTATTATGTGGGTCTGGTCTTGCTTGTTGTAAAAGCGTCTTCTCAAGTAGAATCCCAAAAGCAGAAGTAGTGCCACTACCCCAGTGGCTGAAACTGCTGCAGGGTAGGAAAAAAAAATCAGAATCCTCTTAATCTGCAGAATTTTGATTTGAGTTGCTTTGCTTTATATGTATTTGGTAAATTTTTTACCCGCTGCCACAATAACTCTGACCTTTCTTGATTTCTCTGCAATAAAAACCAGAAAAATACCATCAGAAGACGAAGCCACAACAAGTAGTTCAGATACTTGAACAATTCAAAATGGTACCTTTAGCACAATAAAACCTGCCCTTGGAGTCAGCTTGACATTTTCCTCCATAAAAGTTGTGACAACTATCACAAGCAGGAGATGGCTGTATACGGATGGTGATATTTTCCGACATTAAGGCAAAAGGATTATCGACAACCTCAGCGTCCTTCGCGATTGGAAGATCAACAGGCGTGCACGAGTTCAAAAATCTGGAGACCACATAATCATCAGAGCCCTCACGATAAGAAAGTGACTTTCTGTAGAAGATTTCTTGAGGGCAGTTATCAAAACTATGGTTATAGTACAATGACGATTCCGCAGGATTCAGATTGAGGCGGTCGTTGCAGACGAACATGGTGAAATTATTTTTTAAATGATAAGAAGCAAAAGAAGAGTTTGTGATGAAAGGAAGATCATAGGTGAAAAAGACACTACGGCTTTTTAACAGCAAGAGGTCGTGGAGATAATCGTCTCTGATGGTAATGGTTATGGTAGACAGGTCGAGTTCTGTTACATCAAACCATTTTCCACTGTACTTAATGGTTTTTTTGGCACCTGGGTCTCCATCATAACAGCCATGAATGGCCAATAAGCCACAATCTGGGTGATCTGATGTGGTGAAAGGAAACTGAATTTGGTTGCCCAGATCTCCACAATAAAATGAAGGTGGGCACTTTGCATATCCAACCCAGACCAGGTGCAAGAGGAATGAAACTAAGAGAGAGCAAAAAACTTGAACTGAAATCATTCTGAAACTTATTTACTGATTTAACAACCAAATCTAATTGAACTGATAATTTGCTTAAGAGGGATCAAAGGAAGAAGAGAGAAGTGCAGAAGAGTTGTAGAAAATTATTTTTTTGACCTGGACTATGCCAGCGAACATCGATCAAAGGAAGGAAATAAGCAAATTTAGGTGCCTGGCATTAAGGTACGGTCAATGCAGCTTTCAACCAGGAAATAAAGAACGCGCATGTTAAGTCAAGGAAAAATGATGAGAAAAGTCTTAGTTCTGACTTGGTCTATTATAACGATCGAGAAAGATTTTAGGGGAGGAGGATAAATCTCTCGTTGGAAAATTATGTTCCAGGATGATGGATTGCAGACTAATCCAAACCAAACATATAAAATGTCAACCTGATCTAACTTTATTTTGAAATTTTGAACATCCATTCTCCCGTGAAATTTCTCTCCTCCTTTTTTTTTCTCTGTTAAGATCTTTCCTCTTCGCTCCCATATGTTGAACCAAACACAGCGTTAATAGCTTCTTGCTAGACTTAGTATATAGCACCTCCGCTACTTAATATACAATTTAATTGATTAATTCAGAGAGATAAATAAGCTAAATAAATTATTTTTAACGTATTATATTTATTATTTTTATCCAAACTAATTTTTTTAACTTATAAACTGATGTATAATTCCATGATATATAAAAGTATTTTAGAGAGATTATGAAACATATGTTATAATTAAGTAATTTATTTAGCTTTTTTAATATTTTTAAATTGGTCAACTGAATCTTATAGTAAATACCGGATGTCGTATGCTACATTAGATTAGATTCTTAAACAAAATAAGAAAAATCAAATTTATGAGGGTTTGAACTGAACTTTCAAAAATTGACTGAATTGTGTTATTTAATGTTTTCCAGAATTTTACTTTAGATCAACACAAAGGTTTTTTTTTAATAGAAATCAAATTTTATTAAATTCAATCACATATCAAGACTTCAATTTAAAAACATAATATAATAAGATTCCAGCGTCCAACTGTCATTAAGTAGCAAAGACTCATGGATTATAAAATGGTGTGTGTTCGACTTGAAACTGACTTGTTTATTTCTTCCCCTTCTATATTGCTTTCTACTTTTCAACCGTTGCATCGTCTATAACAAGCAAATGTAATTTATATTTATATTTAATATTTTAAAATGATTAAGACTATAATTTTTTTTTTTAAATCCTTGTCTACTTCGTGATTCAAAGTTCAAACATTTTGGGAGCAGTTTCTTATGGATGAAGATGAGGTTTTTTTTTTTTTTTGAAGTGGTGCGGAAAATAAGCCTTCCGAAGCTTACTGTTGTTAATGTTTGTAATTTTGCGACCTCTTTATTCCATTGAATGTAGGAAATTTTTTGGAACTCAACTGCAAAGTTGTGTTAATGACATTATCAAGGCAATAAGTTTCATTACTCTGTAATTTTTGACAGAGTAGGCCTGCAAGAGCCAAGGAGGTAGGTAGCCCTTTAATTCAGATCCGATGAATCCGAAGGACAACAGAACAAAAGGGGAGAAATGAGTAATGGGTAACTTTAAAGCATGAACATCAAGTTTAAATGTTTCTCAGGCCTCACCAATGTTGACCTTTCCTATACGAATTTTGTGATACTGGGGGGAGCATGCTCTCCTGGATTCGAATGCTTAACAATTATAAATGGAGAACGGAGGGAGAAAAAGCAGTACATCATTTGTATCTATGTCTACGTGAAAGTAGGAGATATGACAATCATGATATTATAGCTCAGTTCAGTTGGTGGGTAAAACCAGTCAACTAATGAACCAATCTTTTAGTCAGTTTGGTCAAAAGTTTTGAATGAACTGATAAAATAGACCTGGTTTAACATAATTTTGAGAGAATTGCAATAAAGTCCCATTTAAGAGAATTAAATACAAAAAAGTCTTTTGAAATCATCAAATTAATCTGAAGTTTCAAGGGACCTTATTGTAAGAAATTTTATTTACTTAATTATCAAATTGCCCTTATCTTTTTTTTTTTAAAGTATACATTAATAACTTAAAATATAACGATTAATAATTATCACGGCAGATGTTGACAACTCATGTATTACATTTTTGTAATGTGTTAGGAAAAATGTGTTGTTAATACTTGTCACAATAGTTGTTAATCATTATACTTTAAGTTGTTAATGACAGTTTAATGCATAATTTAAAAAAAGGACAATGTGGTAATTAAATAAATAAAATCTCTTGCAATAAGGTTCTTGAGACTTTGGAATAATTTGATAATTTCAAAATATCTTTTTGTATTTAATTTTCTTGAGTGGGACTTTATTACAATTTTTCCATAATCTTTTATCTTTTAAATTTATCCTCATTTTAGCCTTTTAGGTTTTAAATCATAGATTTTCGTCCCTCAATACGCAAAATAATCTAGATTTTTATTGAGTCATAAGGACCAATACTTTAAATTAAAAGAAAACTTAAAAGATCAAAACCTATTATTTGAAATTTAAAAAACTAAAATCAAAATGATGACAAACTTGAGGAACTAAAAATTGTATTAGCATAATAAATTTATAATTTTTTTTTCACTTGCTCAGTATGAAATGACATCATTATTTTGAGTTATAAACAACAGATTGTCATATTTATACTTTAATAACTCAATTTTATTATGTTCCATTTTCTTATAGATTATTGGTCTTCAGGATTATATATGAATATTTTTGTATATTTAAATTAAATTATAATATTTTAATCGTAGAAAGATTACTCGAATTCAAGCACAATTTGGATCACTGACCTTTAAATTCCTGTTTCGGCCATCAACGATCTAATTTTCAATACCTTGACAGTTGATACCCACTCAAGAATTTAACTTTGTTGTTACTGTTGGACAAGTGATCTGCTAAAAAATCGAATTTGGAAAAGACAAATTTGTGCCTTACGCAGCATCATCAGCAGTGAAATGTTTTTTTCAGGGCCTCACTATTTGATTCTCTCACTATTCACTAAGCCACAAGGGGACGACTTACAACTGAGTACCACATCAGCGATTCTTGCTAAGAAAAAGTTCCTTCTCATATAATTCTAGTGGAGAGCATAAACGCCTTTAAGCTTCCAAAGTTGTTCTTTTTAGTTCTCCAAGCAATACAAAAATAAACACCATGCAAAAGAATATACCCAGTATTGATTCCAAGCATCCAGCTTTGCCAATCAAACAAAGTTGAAAGCCATTTGCTGATGCCTGAAAACTCAGTACCAGGTTCTCCCTGAGCCTTTGCTATATTAAAAACGCAATGCCCATCTTACATTATTTTGTCAATATTAGATACACATTCTGTTGCCACTTGACAGTGATGATCAGGTAATTACTTGATAAATGAACAAATATGGCTGCTACAAAAATAAAAACAAAAATGAATAATAATGGCGGCATAAAGAATAGGGATAATGAAATCATCAGTTAAGCAACCTATGACACTTTGATTCCACTAGGACGTTTCCCTTCCATGGCATCCTTCTTATCACGACAGCCGGCGCATAGAAAAGGGCCCTGCCAGGGCTTTGAGCTGGTGGAGAAGATTGAACCAGCATGAACAGAGATGCCTTCACTTGGGGCAAGATCAACTTGGCACACAGCACAGATAAAGAGACCTGACGTTGATTGCCCTGTATTCTCATCATTCCCCAATCTGCATGAAATAATCAGAAAGTGTTTAATATAAGAGAATCTGCAAGAATAAACATAACCTGAGTTCTGTAACAGCTATCCAACCAGTTGGGGGGGGGGGATAAAGTATATCTTTATATTATTGCTTCTAGACAAGAAGAAAACCACAATTACTGGCATATTTTGAGAAGGCATGCAAAGCTGTATAGAGAAAGGCATCCTAAGGAGAAATCAGAGAGCGAACATATTTAATTGGAAACAGGGTGTTATGTAATAGATGTTTCTAAAGCCATCCATGTGCTATAATTCTGTCTATAAGAGCTATAGCAAAATACACAAGTTCCTGAACCGGTGTCACATACGAATGCAGTTTTGATCACACACATGCCGTGTTAGTACCCCCAGATTCGTGAGGAGTTGACAACATTTCATTGAGAATATTTTGCAAATCTAAGAAATTATTTTCAAATGCTGTAGTTAATAGTAGCTTGGATGTGATGGCCTAAAAAATATATAGTAGCTTTGTTATGTGGGTTTCCATTTTCCATTTGGAATAAGCAAACAGTTCTCAATTTTTCATACGTTCAAATAGAATCCTCCACAGAAGATAAGAACAAGGAATTGATTCAAACGAAATCAAATCCTGTACAGAACCTCGCGTAGTCAGTTAATCTTAACTTTGGCCACCAGAACTATTCAAATTATTATGAACAAAAATCTTCTTTTTCCTCATATATATGAATGAACTTAATAAGAGAAATTATAAATGTAAAATCTTTAGTCCTGGGCAACAAATAATATTTCGTGTCATGCCATTATGGCATTATTCCCAAACCAATAGGTAACCTTACGGCATAAATTACAGAGTACATGCATTAGCTTCCATGATGAAATACCAGGGAAAAGCCAGCCATGATTCACCCGCCCGCCTTTTTCTCTGTATTTTTAGATCATTGTATTAAATAAATATTACCCTCTACTTTGAACAACAATCAATAGGCAGGGCACTGCCACAACAAATTTGTATACCATTTAATTAGTGAATTGATAGTATTCAAAAAAGAACGACATTACCTTTCAGCAAGCATAGCTGATCCTTCTTCAAATAGTTCCTCCACTATATTTATAGCCGAAAGCTTCTTTGATAGCTTACCAGCAGCATCACGAGACTTCTTCCTGAAAAGCAGAGCCCTCAACTTGTTCTTTTTTTTTGGGGGAGGTGGCGGTGGCATTACATTTTCAGGAGGAATTATGTCAACGACTATGCAAGTTGTGTCATCCTTTAACCCTCTTGTTCTTAATGCTTCCTGAATAAGAGTAGGAACATGTAGAGACTTAAGCTTATATGACATGAAATGTTAACATTGCTGTGCATGAAGCTTCTGTCAAATCAAAAGGCAAAGAAGGAATTTTGATTTAAATTTAAATGGAACCAGCAGGAAGCATTGTTATGTACATTACCTTGACAACCTGCCTAGCAGCAAGTTCAGCTGGCAAACCCCTGCAAGATTTTGCAGCCATGTCTGAGGATAAAGCGTCCCAGATGCCATCAGAAGCGATTATAAGCCTCCCGCCAGCATTTGATAGCTATAACATGTCAAGGGCAGGTTCATCAGAAGATTGACACAGACATAGCAGTATGTCCGCTAAGGGCTTATAGTCAAAACTGTAGGTAGAAGAGACTAGAAGGAAACAAATGATACCTTCACTTGTTTGACATACGGTATTGGAACTATAAACTCCCCAACATCCATGTCTCCTATCGACCTAGAAAGGCACAAACCGCCTGGCCAACAACGAAGGGGACCAATCTACAATGAATTAACAGTACAGTTAAAATAATCATGGAAGGATGGTCAAAAAAATAACACAAAGGAGTTTTCCGTTCCTAATTTCCCTCTTTTGAAAAAGACAGGAGGAGATCTGAGATGCCATGCTCACCTCTGCACCACCAACAATGCTCAGCCTCCCTACTTCACCTCCACTAGCTGTAACACGTTCCCTCCTGTAAAAAAACATGTAGTAATTTGTGATTAGCAAGTGCATAAAGGAATAGTTTATCAACGAAAGATTAAAAATTAGACACATACTCTTCAATATTCTCTTCAAGCCGGTGATCAACAGTTAAGTTTGCAACAGCTCCGCCTTGGGTGTCTAATATACAACGGGAATCACCAACAGATGCCACAGTGACTGTCCATCTATCAACTATCACAAATGTGGCTGTAGTTCCGGAAGTTTCTCCTGGAGAAAACCAGTGAAGCACACATACAATTAGTGAAGAACAAAAGATCAAACTCATCTTTCTTTCGGCATATACTTCTCTACATGAATTGTTTTAATGGAAAAAACGCTAAATTCCAAACCTCTGCTCTGAAATTCCTTGTCAGTCTTCACAAACCCAGCTACCAAGGCCCGAGGTAAAGCTTGAAGCCATTCATCCCGTCCCAGACCTCGAGGAACAGCACTCAACACATGATTTAACAACTGCTCTCTGCTGAAAATGGCCGCAGCATTTCCATTGTGTCCATCAAAGATCTGAAGATCGGAAGAAATCAGCGGCTATCTTATGTATTAAATATCGAAAGAATAATCAGCACGCAACAGGAAAAGTAGTTGGAACATCTCAGAGTCGAAAAATTAGGAAATTTTTTTCCTCCTTGATGTCATACTGTGATGTACAGTTCAAGAGAAAGTGTCCAATATAGATGGTGAAATTACCGCAAATACAGAAAATGATGTTGAGGGATTCCCAGCTACTCGCTGACAATCAGTCTTAATTAGAAAGTAATCCTCGCCTTTCCTAGACTGAGCAGCATGTCCATAACTCACAGTGGGCTTCTCCATCTTCTCAGTCTTCATCTCCCTGCTTAACAACGCAGCGAGAGGCACAAGATCATGATGATGCCGCCTCCCTTCACCAGAGGCCATGGCTAGCCCACTAGTATCTTCTTTCAAACCCAATAATTCGAAGTCTCTAAGCTCTTTTTCTCACAAGCATGTTAGAACTCCGTACATGAAACACTGTTAATCCTGCCTGATCAGGATAAGAGACAGAGGAGGCAAAATCCTTCCACAATAAACACTAAACACTAATTCGCACGGAAACTCAGAACTCAAGTCTCTTTCACAAGAATTCTGTCCAGCTTGATCTGCATTAATCACAAATGAAGTTGTCAAGCTAGGATCTAAGAATTATCCAGTGATCCAAGCAAGAGGAAGATAGAATTCTAAACTGCAAAAACAGTTTTCCAAGATGCGCTATACGCTATAAAATTCTGTCTGTATCGCCCACCTTGGTACCTTCATTTTTAAGAACCATGGAGCTTCAATGTTAGAACAGCAACCATGGGTTGGACAAAAAGGAGGAAGAAACTTTAAGATGGGTTCACACTTTTCACAACAGCCAAACAGAGAACAAGAATTCCAAGCAGAACAATTAAAAGTAGGCGAATTACCCGCTGGAATGTCCAGGGACGCGTCCCGCGCAAAACCAGATGCGGATCTGACTGTGACAGTAAGCAAAAATTCAAAGAAGAAGAAGAAGAAGGAGCAAAATATCCGCACGGACACGAAACGCGTATTGATGACTAAATATGAACTGTAAGACCCAATAATCTAAACCCGAAATCCTCAACCAAAAACCCAATTTCAAGAGAGAATTACATAAATTGTAGGCATAAAAAACGAGAAATCATTGAATATTATGAGACCACCTCGTGTCAGCTTCGGAACAATTTCCCCAACAAACACCCGTGCAAAGATTTTTAGAAATATATAAAATTATAAGACATTTCTATGCCAAACAACAAATGCCGTGGGATCTCGGTATCTAGCCAGCTTCCACACGCTGAAGGAAGAAAGAAACTTTGCTCACTCACAAAAGCCTAGTGTCCAAATCCCACATTCTGTTTCTACTAAAGTCGGTTGTTTTCGTCCCCCTTTTTTTCATCTCTTCTCTTTCCCTCTCTCAGAGGAAAAAGGTCGCAAACCCCCCGCCCTTTTTTCTTTCTTTTATTTTTTTTTTATTGGTTTATAGTGAAACTGACAGCGAGCAACAACTCAGCAAAGCAATAAGAAATAAGAAAACTTGAGTAGTTGGGTGTGAGAAAGCGAGTTGAAAAAACTACGAGACCAGTTTTCGCCGAAAACCAAGTAAAGGGATCACATCGATACTGATTAGATTAGATTAGAACAAGGAAAGAAACAATCGTGCGAATTGTGAGAAGGATTTGACTTCCATATAGTATTAATCATATTAATGTATAGATTTTATCGCTTTAAGTTCTGAAAAAATTCTTAGCTCATTGGTTTTTTAATCATTCCCGATTTCATATCAGGGTATAATCACGCGAAATCAATATTAGTTTGTTTATTTTAGAATTAATTACATAAAATTTGTTAATCATGTATAAGTAACTCTATCAATAACAACAACAAATCTTATCCTATTAAACGTGGTTGGTTATATGAATCATATGAATCGCATGATATCATTATGTTCTATAAATAACTAAATCTTCATATACGAATTGAATAAACCTTTAAAATTTAATAATAAATTATGTAGATAGCCTTAAATTATCAATTTTTGTTCCTTAAAATTTATTTTTATATGCATACAGCTTCCTTAATTTTTTTTTTAATTTTAAGTCATTTGCGAATAAATAGTGAATAAAAATAATAATAAAAGTGATACCTGCAAAAATCTAAAAGTTCGAGGAGGTTAAAGTTAAGAAGAGCCTTCATTTTAAACTCAAACATGTTTTAGTCAGGGCATCAATCGATTTAAAAGATTATAATTTTATTGTACTTTATTTATTAAAATAATTTTAAATCACGTATTAATTTTAATCAGCATTGGCACTCTTAGACAGTGAACCACAAATATCATGCTGGACGTCATTTTATAGAGAAGAAAGATGCTAACCGCGTGAGGGGGGAAAAAAATTTAACCCACAACCTTCTACTTATAAGAATAAATATTTCATGTTATTAAATTACAGTCTATTAAACAATTTCAGATAAAACATTAATTTAATGCCTTCACGAGGGCAAACTATAAACCTACGGCAAAAACATTGTGTGAGAATTAATGATTTATTAATTTCAAATTCAAAAATATCAAACCTAATGTAACACATAATTAATGGAAGAATTTTGATATTTAGTCTGTTGAATAGAAATTCTTAAAACTAATTTGTTAGAATTTTTCTTATAAGAAGACAATTTTATTTAAAAAAATAAAATAATACATAACTGACTGGGTCTCTTTACATAGAACTTATAGGTGTAATAATTTATAAGAAACTAATGATCAATTGATAATTGCCTAGTCTACACGAATATGAATCATAATTTATGAGGACTACATTTAAATTTAAAAACCTAATTTATAGGTGGTTTATAAATTATTTTATACTTGCATTTTAAAATATACGTTTGATTTCATGTTAAAAATAATAAAATTAGATTTTTCACGGAAATAAAGATTCTTTCAACCAAAACAAGCTAGTAGTATTTAACATGAAATCAAAAACTGTTTTTAGTCTTTGCCATGCGGACACAGAGGATCTTAATCATGTTTTTAAGACTTATCCTTTAGCTTTCTCAGTGTGGAAAAAAGTTCTCTCAAATGATATGTACATAGATTTTTTTGGGCAATACATTGTTTACTGGTTAACTCATTAACTGCAACATCTAATTCTAAAGGATTCTTGGAAAATTGAATTTTGTATAACTTGTTAGAAATTATGGGAAGCAAGAAATCAGTCTCTTTTCCGGTGAGAATTATGCTGCTGAAAATATTTTGATAAGTATTTGTGTTATAATTAGACATTCCTTAAAAAGTTTTTCCACTATCAATTTAATCATGTAAATACTGCTTGTATATCGCTTGACTTTGTATAGTTTATTTTGCAATGAAAATTATCCATTTCATTAAAAAAAAAACTGTTTTTAGTCAACGGCCTTGCAGCCGAAAATTACTCTCTATATAAATAAATAAGAAGCTACAGATTTTTTTATGTCATGAACTTTTATTTTTTAAAAAAAAATAGAACTTTTTCGATACTGGTGATCACCCAGATTTTTTTCACTGTTTAAAGAGAGAAAGAGAGGATGGGAAAAAATATATTGGATTTAGGGGAATAAACTAATTTTCCTCAAAATAGTGAGCCAAAATTTGAATTTATATGAGAAAAATATATATACTTAACATCCGACGGTATCTTAACCCCTCTTGTTTACGGAAGGGGGAAACTGTGAGCAAAAAAAAAAAAGAGAGGGGAAAATGACATATAGGTCCCAAGCAGTAGATTTTATTCATCTAGATCCCATAAAAAGTCAAAGTTACTAGCAGGTCTCAAAGACCTTATAATAATATATTTTAATTGTAAAATAACATTATTACCCTTAAGATTCCCAATTCACATCCTTTCCACTATTGTGATTGACAACCTTAGTGGCGACTATTAACAACCTAATGAGAAGCTGTTGACAATCTAAGTAGTATCCGCTAACAACTTACTTGATAGAATTATATAACTTCCACAGAAGAGTAAATTATAACCAAATAATATAATACAACAATTTTAACACTAAAATGGAAAGCTTGTCGAAGGTATTAAGTACTTTAACTAAACCCAATAGGATTATAGTAGAATTTTAATGCAGAGATTCATTAACAACCTAAACAGTGAGTATCAACAACCCAAGAGAAGTTGTTGACAACCTAAATAGTATCTGTTGACAACTCACAACTAACTTTCACACAAGTACTTTTAAAGTTGTTATGTTACACTATTGAGTTATGATTTGTTTTTGTGTAGGGGTTATATTATACCATAAAGTCAACTGTCAACAAATGCTGTCTAGGTTATCAACAACTCTCTTTGGATTGTCAATACTTATTGTTAAGGTTGTTAATACATCTCCATATTAAAATTCTGCTATAATCCTATTGGGTTTGGTTAAAGTTCTTAATGCCTTCGAAAAACTTTCTATTTCTGTGTTAAAATTGTTGAATTATGCTATCTGGTCATAATTTACTTTTATGTGGAGGTTATGTGATCCTATAAAGTAAGTTGTCAGTAGATATTGTTTAGATTGTCAACAGCTTCTTATTGAGTTGTTAATAGTTACCGCTGAAGTTGTCAATCACAATGATAGAGAAAATTTGAATTGGAAATTTGAAGGATAATGACACTATTTTATAACTAAAATATAATACTCTAAAATTTGTTAGTATCTATTACTCCTCCGGTCCTAATTATAAGACCCAATTGACTTATTTGAAGAGATTAAGGAAGTAAGTTAAGTTGGTTATTTATAATAAATAAGTGTTGTTATTCCTAAAATATCCTTACTAATTAAGTATATTGGCTAAAACTATCATTATTAAAAGGATTATCTTGGAAAAAAATGCATAAATATAAAAGAGAAAATAGATTGGGTCTTATAATTAGGACCAAATAAAAAGTCAAATTGGGTTTTATAATAAGGACCGGAGGAGTAGTAATTTTGACATTTTACAAGACTTTAAATTAATAAAATCTACTCCTTTAGACGTGTGCGTCATTTTCCCACATGAGGCAGTGCATGGGAGATGGGAAAAGGTGGGGAGAGAGTGACACGTGGCGGGGAAAATGCATGTGCTGGCAGGGTAGCAATGATGATGTGGAGGAGGGCGCATGTGTTGGGGTGCACTGCAGCTTTCATAGCTGCACTGCACTGTACTCCTCTCACTGGACCACAATTTATTTATTTATTTATTTATTTACTATTTTTTGCTGCAACCCGGGTCCACTGCCTCTCGGATTCAGGCCAATCCGGTTGGGGACCACGCTTCGTTGTTCATTTTCTTGTCCTCTCATTTTAGTCAACCTAATATATTACTTTTAATTATTAATATAAAAACTAATTAACTAATTTAATTATATTAAAAAAATTAGTTAAATTAATTATTTATAATAAATAAGAATTGTCTTTTTTAAAATATTTTTGTTAATCATATATATTAGTTATAACTACTATTTAGTAAAATATTGAACATGTGCAACTACTACAAGGGTTATCTTGAGAGAAAAAATAGATTAATATGAGAGAGAGGTAAAATGAATTGAAATCTTATATTTAGAATTAAATTAAATATCAAACTAGTTTTTATATTAAGAATTAGAGGTAGTATAATCTGCCAACGTTTTTTGAAATTTAATTCTTTCAAATTAAAGCGCAAAGATTGATATATGTATATATTTTTTGTTAGTTTAAACTTTTTTTACTATTCATCATTAAAAAATTGAAAATAATTTTATGACATGATATTCTCATTAAAAATCAATTATGCATGATGGTAAATTCATTTTAAATTCTTACAAACGTTTTTTGAGTAAAAAAAAATTCTTACAAACATTTTGAGTGAAACCACATATGTAATATTTTAGCATAAAAAATATTTTTAATTATTTAGCGTGGAATCAAGCATTTTCAAATTAGATTCAGAGCGGCTGCTAATGCATGGCAGTAATTCTAGTGAAATTAATACTGAGCAAAACTTTATAAACAATACATAAATTTTTTAATTTTTTTAACATACTTCTGTACGTCATTTCATATTGTTCTTACGGATACTTTAAACAAAACATCAAGTAATTAAAACACGCACATATATCATTTATTTAATTTTTTTACCTGATTATTTATTTATCTCATTTTCATATAACAATGGCACTATGTATATGACTATTTTTGCTAAGCATAGGCGTCTTCTTATTAGAAGTAATTCTATTCAAAACACTATCAGGTACAAAATATGAACACCTCTCCTAACAGAGATGCGAACTTTGATTCATCATAATGTGAGAAATTAACTATTTTCGCTAGGTCAAGAGTTATATATATGATTTTTTTTTCTTCATTGCATGTGAAGATTGTATGAGACATGCAGC